CCAATTGTAACCCACAGGATCTGCCCACTTCACCATGGTTGGCTGCTCCCAGTCACCTTTGTGCCCTGCACGTATTAGGAGATGGCTTCTAAAGAGATTTGCTCCGTGAACTTCCTAGGGAGCAAGGTAAGGCTGAGTGGCCTGATGTTACCTGGATTTTCCTTCCTGCCCTTCCTGAAGACAGCTGTGACATTCGCTTTTCTCCAGTCACGACCTTCCTTCTGCCAAGACCTTTCAAAGATGCTAGACAAAGGTCTCACAATTACACTCCCGGCTCCTTTGTCATACTCAGAGGTAGCCCATCTGGTCCCATTAACTTGTGTGTGTATACTTGGGTTAAGTGATCCTTATCTCTATTTCTCTCAATGGTGGATACTGCTTCACTCTCGCAGACTCTGCTAGGAGGTTTAGGCACCTTGGAGGCCTGAAGGCAAAACACGCTGGTACAAACCAGTAAATGTATCTGCCCGAATACCTCAGCCTTTTGCATATTTCTTGTCATCTAGGTCCCCTGCCACAATAAGGACTGGGACCATACTCTCCTTAAGCCTTTATTTTGCCGCTGATGTACTTAATGAAACGTTCCTTGCTGCCTTTATCTCTTCCCTGCTCCATTTCTTAAGCCACAGCCTGCCAGGCGTTCTCCCCTCCATGGAAGTCTAAGTGCCAACACACTACCTGAGCCTTATGTTTCTCAAGGTCTTCAGGCCTCAACCAATGCTTCTGCCTCTAACTTCCCTGGCATACTGAAGGACTGAACAAGAAGAAAGAAGCAGGACCTCACCCTTCTAGCTGTCCCATGTCAACATGCCCAATGTTAAAGCCCAGCCAGTAGCATGAGTACCACCCCTCCTGAAGGCCAAACTGGCAGGGCTGTGACACTGCAGCTCAACGTTTCATGATACACGTTAACTGAACAGCCCTCACATAGATTATGGAAGGCTTCTAAGGCTAACTGCTCTTTACTTCAGCCAGCTTAAAAAATGCATAGGTCTAATATAATCAAGACCTTCATTTTACACACAGCGTCTTCATTGCTCTGGAGGATCCCCTTTATGGAGACCAAAGACATTCTAGTTTTGGACAGTACAAATTTTACCTTCTAAATTAAATGCAGTCTTCTTTAAGCACACACTTCATTTTCTATGCTGTCTACCAGCTTTAAGAAGTATTAATATCCAATATCCAAAACGTCTGTTCAGCCTTTGGAAAAATTCCATTCCACTAAACTCATCCCCATAGATGAATTTATTCTAAACAATTTTTCTTTTAAGTGTTCTCATTTGAATATTAGCATTAGATAGGCGTTAAACGACCTGGTCTCCCTGATCTCAGCAGTTCACAATTATACAGTATATAGCTTACTCCAAAGGCTATGACAATAAATGAAACAACAATTTCAGGAAAGAAAAAACTCAAAACCCACAAGTTCCCCAAAGCATCACAATAAAAGTATCATAGTTTCTACAGATGCTCGCAGATGTTTATGCTTAAGACACAGTAAAGATGGTTTCTTTGAATAAAACACAGCTACTACTGTTTTTCAGCAGATCAAACAAATAGAAAGGACTCTTCTAAAGAAAAACTGCAAAACAAACAAGCAAACCAACCCCAAACCCACAAAATTTCCATTTAAAACTTGAATAGTTTCTCAGACTTTCTCCTCCCACTCCCCAAACACTTGGTTATGACACTTTTAATAAGGCAGACAGCATATTGGAAAATATTAGCAGCACTTGTAATCTACAGCATGACAACAAAGCTCTTGTTCTTGACAAGATCACAGAGAGTGCAACAGCATGGAGAACCACTTGCTAGGTCTAATAATCTTTTAAGGCTTACAGGCTACAGTCAGCATCCTCAAAAACATTAATTTGACTACATACTTCTTGCTGATGTAACTGTAAAACATGTAGCATAATTACAGAGGCATTTGCTGACCCTTCTCTGTTGAGCAGCAGTATGACATTTCAAAAAAACCAAAAAGACCAAAAAATCCCAACAAATCCCCACAAAACTTATCTAATCACTTCTAAGTGCATTACTTTGACAATTACAACTGAAACTTGAGGATTCTTAGTTAAGCTGAGAACAAAAACTTACAAGATGCAACACCTGAAAGATAAAGTATCTCAGTTTGAACTGGGAATATGCAAGAAATGTCTAGTAAGATAAAGAAACAATTCAGCACGTTACTGGGGAGCACGGCACATTCCCCCATCATGTAAAAACTTCACATTAGAAGCAGCAGTTCTCTTTCACTCCCGGCTCCTTTGTCATACTCAGAGGTAGCCCATCTGGTCCCATTAACTTGTGTGTGTATACTTGGGTTAAGTGATCCTTATCTCTATTTCTCTCAATGGTGGATACTGCAAGGTAAGGCTGAGTGGCCTGATGTTACCTGGATTTTCCTTCCTGCCCTTCCTGAAGACAGCTGTGACATTCGCTTTTCTCCAGTCACGACCTTCCTTCTGCCAAGACCTTTCAAAGATGCTAGACAAAGGTCTCACAATTACACTCCCGGCTCCTTTGTCATACTCAGAGGTAGCCCATCTGGTCCCATTAACTTGTGTGTGTATACTTGGGTTAAGTGATCCTTATCTCTATTTCTCTCAATGGTGGATACTGCTTCACTCTCGCAGACTCTGCTAGGAGGTTTAGGCACCTTGGAGGCCTGAAGGCAAAACACGCTGGTACAAACCAGTAAATGTATCTGCCCGAATACCTCAGCCTTTTGCATATTTCTTGTCATCTAGGTCCCCTGCCACAATAAGGACTGGGACCATACTCTCCTTAAGCCTTTATTTTGCCGCTGATGTACTTAATGAAACGTTCCTTGCTGCCTTTATCTCTTCCCTGCTCCATTTCTTAAGCCACAGCCTGCCAGGCGTTCTCCCCTCCATGGAAGTCTAAGTGCCAACACACTACCTGAGCCTTATGTTTCTCAAGGTCTTCAGGCCTCAACCAATGCTTCTGCCTCTAACTTCCCTGGCATACTGAAGGACTGAACAAGAAGAAAGAAGCAGGACCTCACCCTTCTAGCTGTCCCATGTCAACATGCCCAATGTTAAAGCCCAGCCAGTAGCATGAGTACCACCCCTCCTGAAGGCCAAACTGGCAGGGCTGTGACACTGCAGCTCAACGTTTCATGATACACGTTAACTGAACAGCCCTCACATAGATTATGGAAGGCTTCTAAGGCTAATTGCTCTTTACTTCAGCCAGCTTAAAAAATGCACAGGTCTAATATAATCAAGACCTTCATTTTACACACAGCGTCTTCATTGCTCTGGAGGATCCCCTTTATGGAGACCAAAGACATTCTAGTTTTGGACAGTACAAATTTTACCTTCTAAATTAAATGCAGTCTTCTTTAAGCACACACTTCATTTTCTATGCTGTCTACCAGCTTTAAGAAGTATTAATATCCAATATCCAAAACGTCTGTTCAGCCTTTGGAAAAATTCCATTCCACTAAACTCATCCCCATAGATGAATTTATTCTAAACAATTTTTCTTTTAAGTGTTCTCATTTGAATATTAGCATTAGATAGGCGTTAAACGACCTGGTCTCCCTGATCTCAGCAGTTCACAATTATACAGTATATAGCTTACTCCAAAGGCTATGACAATAAATGAAACAACAATTTCAGGAAAGAAAAAACTCAAAACCCACAAGTTCCCCAAAGCATCACAATAAAAGTATCATAGTTTCTACAGATGCTCGCAGATGTTTATGCTTAAGACACAGTAAAGATGGTTTCTTTGAATAAAACACAGCTACTACTGTTTTTCAGCAGATCAAACAAATAGAAAGGACTCTTCTAAAGAAAAACTGCAAAACAAACAAGCAAACCAACCCCAAACCCACAAAATTTCCATTTAAAACTTGAATAGTTTCTCAGACTTTCTCCTCCCACTCCCCAAACACTTGGTTATGACACTTTTAATAAGGCAGACAGCATATTGGAAAATATTAGCAGCACTTGTAATCTACAGCATGACAACAAAGCTCTTGTTCTTGACAAGATCACAGAGAGTGCAACAGCATGGAGAACCACTTGCTAGGTCTAATAATCTTTTAAGGCTTACAGGCTACAGTCAGCATCCTCAAAAACATTAATTTGACTACATACTTCTTGCTGATGTAACTGTAAAACATGTAGCATAATTACAGAGGCATTTGCTGACCCTTCTCTGTTGAGCAGCAGTATGACATTTCAAAAAAACCAAAAAGACCAAAAAATCCCAACAAATCCCCACAAAACTTATCTAATCACTTCTAAGTGCATTACTTTGACAATTACAACTGAAACTTGAGGATTCTTAGTTAAGCTGAGAACAAAAACTTACAAGATGCAACACCTGAAAGATAAAGTATCTCAGTTTGAACTGGGAATATGCAAGAAATGTCTAGTAAGATAAAGAAACAATTCAGCACGTTACTGGGGAGCACGGCACATTCCCCCATCATGTAAAAACTTCACATTAGAAGCAGCAGTTCTCTTTGGTGGGCAAATTTTAGTTTCCCATAACTAACTACAGCAGAAGTTACAGAGTGAAAATTATGGCCTCTGTTGTTAAAAGAAATCATATTTAACCAGAGTACCCTATCACAATAGCTCTCCTCAGCCTCAAAAACTAAGCACAATAAGATACTGACATTCATATCAAAATACTTATATTATTATATGGGTTAGACCACACTTTTTTCACAGCAAGCTTCCAAATGTCAGTGGCTGGTAAGAAAAATAATACAAACCAAATCACTTCCCAGACAAAAGAATGAAGTGAAAAGCTATGTTGATAGTTTCAGATCAGTTTGTCCTTGCTTTTTCCAAACAGTGGCCTACTGGGGTCACATAAAAAAAGGTAAGAACAAGCTGGTCTACAACAGTGAACAAAGGGAAAGAACCAGGGGAGAAACAGACTTGGGGGGGAAATCACATAGAAAAACATAGTTTGCAGTCTCTTTCCACACAAAGTGAACTGACTCTTACCTGAAAATCCTCTTTTATAGCTTGTAGGTTATATGCAAAGAACTTCTGATAATGTTGGAAGAGCAGAGTCAATAAAATCGAGATGGCACTTGGGACTAATAGCAGACTCTTTGACAAAGGTGCCTTATCTTAAAAAACAAACAAACAAAAAATTCTCTTAGAAAAAATTCTCACATTTAAAGAGTGACATATTTAAACAGGTGATTGGAAAACATAATAGCAGTGGCACCACCTTGACTTCTCATCTCAACAACTTCCCAAGTTCTCAGCAACTTGCAAATAGATAGGAAAAACACATCAACCAAAGCGAGTCTTTGGAGATATTACTGACAAATACTAATGAGACCTTTGGTTTTCAACATTCTGTCATTAAATTAATTGTTTGGCTGTAATTAAACCCAAACTCTCTGCACCTATAGCGGTCATGCACTCCTCTGCAGCCCTCCTAAGGCTCAATCACGTTTCAGGAAATAAAACACTCTTTTTCGCTAGTAAAATACACACATGCATCCAGTTGAAACAAATACCTGTTTCTTTTGCATTAGAGATTAAGATTAGCTTTTATTCTAGAGGCTATGACACCAGAACTACCCAAATAAATTGACTTTCTCTTCACCACACTTGGATCCACCATTCAAGGAAACATCTAAGTTAATTTACACTATATTCATCTTCCTTCCATTCAGTCATTGCAATTACTAATAATGATATTAATAAAATCAGGATGCTTGTGAAATCAGAACTTCTCTTCCCTTAGTAGCATGGCCTTCAGAAAGCACACTCAGAAGAAAGCAAGTGGAGAACAGAGAAATCTGCAATACACATTTACTAAAAACTGCTAAGTGGAACATGCAAGAAGAGCACACCCAGTGATTCATCCTAAATCGTTGGTGTAATTGATGCAACAAAACACAAACTCTTGCCCAACAATTCAAGCCAATACAGAAACTCTGAATTATTTCTTCTATGAATTTTCCCTTTTGATACATACAACTTTAATCATATTTACTTCTTTCCCAAGCATCCCAGTTACAGCACAGGACGTACAGATTTTCAGAAAACTGCTTTTTTACATGGTATTACAAAATCTGTAGCTGTTGTCATTATTCTTAGATAACAAAAGAAGCAATAAGTCTACTTTAAAAGTACTAATGGGAAGTAAAGAGCAGGAGCACAGGAAGAGCAAAACTGCATTAAAAAAGTGTAACGCAAGAAACATTTAGTATGTATCCAGATAAAATGACCACCATAAATGATTCTGTCAACATCTGCTGCACGCTGGATGAGTGAACTGCTAGAAAAGGAAGATGGTAATAGGCACCAAAGCCAAGATTCTAATCATGGCACAATCCCACTGCCATCAAAAATATGGTTTGTACTACGTAATTTAAGCATGATCCTCATCCATGTACTAACAGGTGACATCAAGAACTTTGATGGACACTTAACTCTTCTCAGTTCACACAACCTTGAAGTCTGCAGTCTTCTGATGCTCAGCATGTGAAGAAAACATTTCTTCCTATGTATATTGTAACGTAAACTTGTACTTAAAACTCCTCTTTCAGTTGACAATCTAGACCTTTGAGTTCATTATTTACAGACTCACTTTCCATTTAAGCAATCAATGCCTTGAAGAACTATCCTTTTATAGGATACTATAGGCAGTACAGGAACTAGGCAGTGATTTGGATTGACACAGGGTGATGTTACTCTGCTAACCATAAATTCACTTTTGTGATTAGGTTTTCTCTGATAGAGAAATCAGGAGGGCAGAAAGCCTGGTTGATTTCTTTTTTAAATGCAATTAAATTATCCACCTTTCAATTTAATATCTTTCTTTGGATTTTTTTGCTCTCCAAAAATAAGGTCTATAGTCTTTAGATGTCCATTTTTTAAATTATTCATTTCTCTGATTTAGTTGGATGCTTCAAAAGTCTGAAGGCAGAGTAATGTAGAACACTGCAGGGAAAAAAGAAGCTGGAGCTGCCTGAAAGTTACTGTGCTCAGAATGCACAGACATATACACTTGAAACCTCAGCCAGTGCTCCTTTAATTAACTTCACTTAGTTAAAGTAACATTTCTTAATGTGAAAAGGTCTGTTTTACAACTAGGATACAATAGATATTTGATAGTATAGCCTAAATCAGAACAATAGCGGTAGTCACAACAGTAGACATTTCTGAACCAATGTTTTATTAAACTTGCTATTTTACTATCAAATACATTTACATTATTTCATGAGTTTAAATAAATTTTTACAAGAACTCATTAATCCTGTAATAATTTTCACATGAGAACAATGCTACCAAAAAAAAAGTGACAAGCAAATCACTAGATTTCCCACAGTGACTATGTATTTCTATACAGGTTTATATTTTACTGTAATCTCTATATCATTAGATCATGTTTACATTACAGGTAATACACACTTGAACTACTTTAGCTTATCAAGTTCATTCCTAATTTGAATGCTTTCTAAAATAACCAACCAACAGAAATTTATCTGTTTTCTCAAAAAGGGTGAACACACATTTTTATTTATGAGCCTCCTTTTAGCTTTCAGCTTAGACACTTTAAACCTTGCTATAGAGGAAAAGTACTCACTTTTAAGCATGTCACCAAGTGAAAAACCACAGAAGTAACTAACACGACAGTCACCCACAGGGAACATCACATGAGTAACGGAAACTTCTACTCTCAAGCTTCTCAAAATGTCATCATGGTTGATAAGTTCATTCTTGCCCAGTAAACTTGAGAAACAAATCCTTCCAGACAAATAACACATCTCCTGAAATGTTTTTTCCAAGTGTTTCACTGTAAAATGCAGCAGTTTGCTTTACCCCCCAACAGCATATAGATCCTGGTTACAGGATACATACAGGTACAAAGACCACTGTGAGGTTACCAGTGAAGGAGCAACCCTCCCACTGCTGTCGAATTTCTCAAATAGTTAAAACCAAAAATTACTAACAAGCCCAGATACTGCACAATCAGGCATTCTGACACCCAAGTCAAATTCCTTACTTAGAATGCAAAGGTAAAATTAGAAAGCAAAATTTTAGTTCAATGGGTTCGCAACTGTGCGCAGGATGGAAACACGTACTACCAACCCATACTGGGCACCAGCGTCTACTGGCAGCACCAAGGAAAATATGCACAAGGAGGAGAAAAACACAACGCCTTTATACCACAGAAAGAAAGTAGAATGAAAGGATAAACTCTTATTTTGGCACTGAAGAGTTAAAACAGTTTAAAATAAAAAAAAGTTAAAATAAATAAATTAAAAGTTAAAATAAATCAAACACTATCTTCAAAGACCTTGGAATGATTTTGCAATCGCTTAAGTGCTCCTTAAGCACCAATTCTTTCAAACAACAGGCAGTAATAGCATTGGTGCCCCAACACACATACTGAATTTCCATCTAAGTGAACAGGGTAATTTTGTAATAACCAGCAAAGCACATCCATGCTATGAGGAAGAGCAAAGAACCAGCTTCTGCTACAGAGCTTTGCTTCCCTCTGGTGCAATGGAGAAGTTCTCCCCACAACTACCCTCATAATCTAAAGGCAAATGTCACAACTTTTGTGCTACCACTGCGCAATGTGAGGCTGATCCTAAAATGTAACGTGGTTGAGAAAACCACCTGTAAGTCTTCACACTCCACCCCTACACTCATTACAAAGCCCATGAATCCTCTTCTTCCACAACATACCACTTTTTGGGTTGCCAACACCCCTTTCAAAGTAGAAAGGAAGAGATGTGTCTCAAGCAGGGGAAGGTTTATGGCACAACTGCTCAGGTAGTTGCTGCTTCAGAAGCCCCCATTGCACTAACGAGAAGAAAATGAAAGTTGTGGTAGCAGCAACAGCTATGGTTTTTAAAATTATTTTCCTGTTCCCAGCCTGTTCACCACCCCCAGGTGAGAAGAGAGAGCAGACAAGCATGGCAAAACAGACAGCCACGCCAAGCTACTGTTTCAGAAGGGCTTTTTCAGGGAACAACTTCACACCCTGGACTGCTATTCTGAGCCCAAGCCTCCTGCACTGACTTGGGCGAGGACCTCACTGCCAATGCCAGCTGACTAGCAGTGACTGCAGAAACTCAAATTAGCTCAGATTGGATTTTGTGGGGATCCCTACTGATCTTACAACGGTGCTGCAGATGAAACATGCTGTGTTACAGCTTATTTTTTGTTTCACTGTCACTTGCAAACTTTCCAAACCCAGTTGCTTTATGGCAGACACACGGCTTTCAAACAGACAATTGACTGCTGGGGGCTACTATGATGGCACAAAACACACAAACCACCTTTTAATGGTGATACACAACACCTGTGAATCTTTTAAACAGTAACTGATGCACATCTGAATGCACAGTACTTCCCCAAATGCACTGATGGAATCTGTATTTTGGGTGGGTTTGCTATTCCTGCATTAAGCTGTCATGCAGATATTCATCTACCGTATTCCAAAATCCAGCCAAAGACCTGCAGCAGCTTCATCAGAGTTTTCAAGGACTCTTGCCTCCTATTTTCCCTTCAGATGCAAATTTGTCACATGTCAAACAGAAATAGCATTTACATCACAAATACCTCCTCCTGAATGCTTGAAAAATCTTACTCGTCCTTTATTGTAATGGTTGATGAAACTCACAGTCAGATACTTGAATCTGAAAAGTAATTTCTAAGTGCTTCCTAGACACCAATGTGTGCCTTTGGGAGACTGGAGCAATCCTACTAGATCTGAGGAGTAAAATCTTGTCTTTATTATAACCATGCACTGAGTCCTGAACAGCAGCCAAGAACAAACGAGAGCATGCCACGGAGGGAGGATGACAAGAGATACTGACATGTGTAATACTCCCTGAGGAACCTGGAAGACACCAGGAGACTGAGTGCTGACTGGTAGGATGGAATTTGACCATAAGATGATATTTTAGACTTTGTTTGATCTAGTGTAGGTATTTTTTCAGTATTCCATCCTTTGGGGGAAAAAAAAAAAAAAAAAAAAAAAAAAAAAGCAATACCAAAGGACCCTGCAAAAGCAGAGAAGTTACTGCTGTCTGAAAGTATTACATGATTTAACAAAAGCATTCTGGGTCAGGGAGGCAGCTCTTGCCCCTGGTCT